TGTGCATATAGAGGGCGTCCAAATTTGATTTCATATGAGAAAGTTATGATTTTTCGAAGTTTCGATACAGTAGTGTGGACACAAAAATCGGAATTCAAATCGGTTGAGTGTTATCTGAAACAATCTAAACAGGAGTCAAAGATCTCATGAATAAGATTGTGTCGAAATAAAAACAGTCGAAAACGGATGTCGTATGAAAGAGTTATTATTTTTATATGGACTTTAACAGTCTAAACCTATAAAAATATACCTTTAAAAATGAAGTGAGAATTAACCAATGGAGTCTAAACTAAAGTTGTAGTTCTCATCAATAGCTACACTTAGATATAAATAACGTCAAAAACGGAACTCATATGAGAAAGATATGAATTTTTGAAAAATATTTAAAAGTCACGTGCACAGACAATGTGCACAGCGCGCACTGACATCAGACGTGGCCCACCCGGTTTGTGACACATGACGACATTCTAATGGAACCACGTCAATGACTCCGACAAAGTACATGGCACACCCCTCTTTCCAGCTTATAAATATGTGCGTTCCAAGCTCAATTTCTCACACATTTTCACCCAAATCATCTGGAAACCCTCCCGCACCCCTAACCCCTTTATCCCCTAGTTCTTGGATACTTTAGTGAGGCTCTGGAGTGTCTAAAAGATAGAGCTTTCAGTTTCGGAGTTTTATCCACGTAATTACCGATTTTTGTTTGAAATCTTTGTAATCCAAGCTGCACTTATTTTATTCCAAGTGTAAATTATATTTATATTCATAGTCGTTAGTATAAATCTATAAGTAAGATTTCTCAGTGTTTCTATGTCATAATATTGATTGATTTACTTACGGGGATAATGTCTAGGCTAGATTTAGTGAGGTGTTTCAATTGAGATTTCCAAATAGTGAGGTGCTCTCCCGCCGATTCCACAGCCATCGCAACCATCACCACAACCATCACAACCATCACAGGTAAAACAATCTACTTTGTTTTTGTGGTGATTATTTGCTAAAAAGTTTGGTAATTAGGTTTAGTCCCAATTGCAAAAAATAACAACGTACTTTGGTTTTTTTGTCTTACTTTAAAAATAGTAATCTACTTTCGTAAAATGTATGTTGATTTGGTAATTTTGGTTTTGTGGTGATTATTTGATAAAAAGTTTGGTAATTAGGTTTTTGTCCCAAGTGCAAAAAATAACAACGTACTTTGGTTTTTTTGTCTTAGTTTAAAAATAATAATCTACTTTAGCATCGTAAAATGCATGTTGATTTGGTAATTTTGGTTTTGTGGTGATTATTTGCTAAAAACTTTGGTAATTAGGTTTTTGTCCCAAGTGCAAAAAATAACAACGTACTTTGGTTTCTTGTCTTAGTTTAAAAATAGCAATCTACTTTAACATCGTAAAATGCATGTTGATTTGGTAATTTTGGTTTTGTGTTGATTATTTGCTAAAAACTTTGGTAATTAGGTTTTTGTCCCAAGTGCAAAAAATAACAACGTACTTTGGTTTTTTGTCTTAGTTTAAAAATAACAATGTATTTTGATAGTTTTTGTTTATATTTGATAATTTAACTTATAAGTTTATATATGTTGTTATTAATTATGTAGTTGGAAAATCTTCGTGCAATGCTCAACGACCCGACATGTAGGGATGAGCTTTATTCGTTTTTTCAATCCCAAAATAATCGAGGAACCGATGGGAACGAAGATGATGGTATATAGGGATGAGTTTTATTTGCATACGTTGTCACGCTTTGCTACTTGGTAGATTGCAAAACTTTGATTGTTTTTTTGTAATTGCCGGAGACACTAATACCGGGCGACATTATTACTTTTTAAATTTAATCGGATATTATGTAATTACCGGACATTATTACTTTTTATATTTAATCGGATATTATGATTTTTGATATTTAATTAATTATAATCGGATGTTTGTTTTGTAATTAGCGTCGACATTATTGTTTTGATATTTAATCGAATGTTGTTATGCAATTACCAACGATATTATTACCGGTAACCAAAATCGTTAATTAAAAAAATGAAAATTATTATTACCGGCGACAGAGTTATTACCAGCGACTTTGTTATTAGCGGCGGCACCCTCATTAGCGTCGGCATGGTCATTAGCGGCAACATTTCTCGTTAGCAGCGACAAGTTGATTAATAGCGACGAAACAGAAGTTATTACCAGCGACAACTTGACTTATTATCAGCGACGTTTGTCGCCGCTAATGATCGTTTTCCTTGTAGTGATGAGTGCGTGTCCGAGGTTGGTAAGTCACATCAACTGCCACGCCGACCATCTGCCACTGTGGTTTGCCACATCATTGACATCAACGAGTTAGCTACTGAAAAGGGGAAAAAATAGTTAAAATGTAATATTTTGCCGATTTTCATAACTTTTTTATTAAAATAATTAGTTTTGAACTAGATCGTAAAATAAGCCAAAATTTTGGTACTAGATCGTAAAATTACGCACATTTTTGGGATTTTACTATAGATTTTTTTTTTCTATTTAAAAAAGTAAAGTTAAGAATTTTTCATATATAAAATACATAAATAAATAAATGAATAAACTTTAAGACTTTACTAATGATTTCCGTTTTAAGAATACTACTACTACAACTACAAAAAGTTTCACTTTAAGTGATAAAAATAAATATATTAAACTTGAATGAAGCTGGCCTATCAAAATTTTGCTTGCAAGAAACTTAGATGATGATGATGATATAAGATGGTCACTCTACATCTCCAAGTTGAGGGATCTTAGCTCACACGACATGCTTCTTTTTTTAACAATCTCCACTTCTAACTTCTTACCATATATTCCCTACTCGTTTTTTTAAAGCAAATTCCATAAAAGCTAACATATTTCAGTCATATATTTTTAATTTAGGTAACATATTAATATCAGGTCAGATAAAAGATAACATTTCTTCAAATTTATTAATAAAAGAATTTTTTTACCTAAATAACAAGTTTTCAATAATTTTATTGTTGATGTGTCAAAAGTGTTGATTTGGAATTGATGTAGGTAATTGAAAACATAATAGATAATCAAATTTTATTTTATTTCTTTATTAATCAGCTTATCATGTTAAATTTACCTCAAATCAATATTCTGGAAGTTTGATCCCTTTACCTAGCATAAAGTTATGTTATCTAAAATATAAGAGCAACTAAACTACAATTTGCCTTAATTTTCGATGAGTTAGCAAGCATTATGTACCCAATTCAAGGATGTCTTCTTTTAACTTGCTAGAACTTATTTGAAACGATTTAATTTTTTTTTAGTTTAATTACTTTATATTTAAGTTGTAATTAAAAACTCGTGAAAACAAGTGGCTTTCGGATCTTATTAAAAAAATAATAAAAAATTCCACGTTTTATTTGGAGACATGGTTGGGATGTGCAAGTACAAACATGATGGGGCTACCACAATCGAGACACCCAAACTCCTTTAAAAACAAGCCCCCCCTTGTAAGTGTGGCAACTAGCAAGAAGATCAAACTATCCATCACAAAACAATCACAAGTGCTTTTGGTAGCAAATGCCAATCACGAACCATGTGATGATTCACTCTTTCTTTCTTTTAGTACCATAGCCAATATTACAATAACTTATATATTATTGCGCGTTTTTCAGAAGACTTCTGATTTAAAAACTGTTGCGCGTGTGTTGCATAACGCAACACTAAACCAGCTGTTTCAAACATCTTTACATCTTATTTTAACTTACTGCAGCAGTCTGTAAACGTTAAAAAACAAACAATTTTTTTTTAAATATTGCAGTCGTTTGTTCCACCTCTTCTGCTACAGAGGGTTGCAGAGGTGGTCCGCAGACTTAAGACATTTTTGCTTCGAAAAAACAAACATCACCTTAAGGTGTGTATACCTAGTTATTTTACCATTGCCCAATGGTTAACACCCCGACCCCTCCCTAACAACAACTATTTTATATTTTATTTAAGCATATCAAAAACATTTTATATATATATATATATATATATATATATATATATATATATATATATATATATATATATATATATATATATATATATATATATATATATATATATATATCAAGCCAATCTTCTTTTTTTTTTTTTTTTTCAGATCATTCAACCAATTCTCTCTCGACCTTCATATTTATTTACATTCTTGCACTCGTTTACCGAATTCCAAAAGGGTTCAAGCGTGGCAAGAGGGAAAAGTTTAGTTCAAATGTTCAATCCTTCTCTGATCAAGTGGGATGACTTGTTGGGTGTGGATGTGATTAAGAATAAATGTTTTTTCATGGTCATTATTTCTATGGTTTGGGTTCTTTAGAATTTTAGAAATAACACGATATTTGGAACGATCAAGCCAAAGAAAAGGGATACCTTTGATGATATACAGAATATACGTTAATAAATAGTTATCGTGACAAATATGTCATAAGCTTATTGCAACGACACCATAGATTTTGATTACTTGTAACTTACGTAGCAACTGGATTATATAAAGAACTTATTCGGCAAATAACCAAAATTTAGGGTTACTTTGAAAAAAATAACCACATAAATGAGGAATTCGGAAAATGACCACAAGATCCGCAAAGGGGGTTCTGCGGAACCATAAACGCCTGTGAGGAACCATGAACACCTCTGTGGATCTTGGTTTTTTTTTCGTTTTTTTATTTTTTTCGTTTATTAATATTATTATTTTTTTAATCACATAAGGTATTATGTGATTATTATGTAAAAAAAATGTTTTCGTTTTTTTTCTTATTTAATTACCCGTTTAAAAAAGGTATGTGTTTAATAAAATTATACAAATATTCCATATTTTTTTTATAAAATTACACACACCGGTATTCTGAATAATAAACATACTTTAAGTAGGTTACAAAACATACTTTAGAAAACATAAACATACAACTTTCATAATAAACATAATTTGAAATAAACTTCATTCATTCAAATCGAACCACGGAAACTTTGATCTATTTTCGCATTCCGGCCATGGGTTTTCTGTTGTGTGTGTCCCTAGGTTTACTATCGCTTGTGTCCATTGGTTATCTGGCTCTTGCTGTCATTAGTACTCGATGCAACCATGTCATTGGTTATGTGGCTCTTCCTGCGGTTAGTAATCGGTCCCTTGCGTCCATTAGTTATGTGGCTCATGTTGCCATTAATGTTCGGTCTGTTGTGTCCATTGGTTGTCTAGTTGCTACTGCCATTGATGCTTGCTCTGTTGTATCCATTGTTTGTCTGGCTGCTGCTACCATTGATGTTTGGTCTGTTGTGTCCATTGGTTGTCTGGTTGCTGATGCAATTGTTGTTCGATATGTTGCATCCATTGGTTCTCTGGCTCATGCTGCCATTAGTTTTCGGTCTCTTGCGTCGGTTCCTCTTCTGTCGCTTTTGTCCTACCTCCTGACGCCTCGGTACATTTTTACTTTTACTTTGGTTCTTTGGAACGATTTCCTTACACGTCCTTGCATTATGAGTTGTGCTATGACATCTACTACACCTTATTTTTGATTCCTCACTTTGAGAGGGAATACGGTTGGTGTTTTTTGGTCTATCGGCTTGACGTATTTCCATCACAGGAGGGTTAACTACCAAAAGGTCATCCGGAACCTCCCGATCACTAAGTTCTGAAAGAGGGTATACGACCTGCTCGTACGTTCTTCGATATGTTTCAATTTTATAAACATCTATAGTCATATGCCCACAGTGATCATTTTTCAAGTGCGTTAAAACAAATATCACATGACCACATGGCAAACTAGTTAGTTGCCAATATTTACAAGAACAACTCTTTTACCTCAAATTCACTATGCTGCCACTTTTGAAGTCATGTACTTGATATGTTATATTGTCAACACCGGATACCGACCATCCTTGAATCCCCTCTTTATTTTTTTTAACCATATCTTCAATCCACTTCATAAGTACTGCTGCACTTTTTTCTGTTAAAACAAGCATATATTTTTATATATGACATTTATCATATAATTTAAAATTAAACATAATCATACATGCAGCCATCCGCTGTTTGTAAAACCATTTTTGCATAAGTGCGCGAAAGAACTCAAGAAGTAGTAATATAGGCAACTTCCTTGCTTTATTTGATACATCATTCATGGACTCCGCACTATTTGAGGTCATATAATCATACCTTGTAGTAGGGCAATACGCTCCGGTCCATTTCTCACGTGGAATTTGACTGAGATATGTCGCTACATCATCTCTTATATTACGAAGTCTCCCCCAATAGAATTCAAACTCAGTGATTTTGTAAGCTTTTACCAGCTTCCAAAACAAAATTGCTATTTTTTTTGTTTTTTCCAAAGGCGTGGACTATGTTTCCTATTAGATGAAAACCACACAATCCATGTTGAGCATTTGGAAAAACATTGTGGATACTTACAACAATTGTGGGTGCTCTATTTGTGACTATTATCAGACCTTCCACATCACCAATGCATTTATGTAGTTTTTCAAGAAACCATGTCCAAAAATATGTAGTCTCTTTTGGGCAAATTCTATACCCAGTAGGCAATATCTGATTGTTGCCATCCATGGATATTGCATGCAAGATGGTGCCTTTGTATTTTCCCTTCAAATGAACAACATCCATAATAATAACTTTTCTACAACACTCTCTGAAAGCAACAACAATATAAAAACCATTAATATATCAACAATATAATTTGTTTATAAACATTTAAGAAAATAACAAATATATTTAAAAATATATTACCGTGCATCCAATAGCGAAAAAGCAATACTCAAAACAATCCTCCGAATCAGTTTTTATGTACACCACAGTACCAGGATTATGTTTCTTCAGATTGTGAAAATAAACTACAAGTTTGGAGAAACTTTCTTCGGGGGTCCCCATCATCAATCCCAGAGCAAATTCTCTAGCATGTCACGCTTGTGAATAACTCATATTTATTTGTAGAAAAGCATTCATATCTCTAATTATATAATTAGGCTTCCAAACTCTCAAACTTCCTTGACCCATAATGTCATTATTGTCATGTATTATGGTTCCCACAACTTCACTATTTGCTTGCCTATGATTTGGGTGTATAAGCAATGAAGAACATGTATGCTCGTCATTGAGCATCTTATTTCAAACATTTATGTTCCTTTAATGAGAGATGCATATAAATGCCAATGACAATTTTCTTGCATATAAACAACCTGGTACCAAGATTTTGAAGATTTTTCAACCTTTATCTGATACTTTTCTCTAACATATTTGACTTTAACAGCAAATGCTAGCTCTTTTTTGGTGTTATATGTTTGATTGACAATTAATTTATCATTTGGACCTAAACTGTGAAATGGTCCAGGTTTAGTAATAGGTTCTGGACAATCAGGAATAGAATGAATGCAATACCATGGATTAAAAGCAGTTTTTCGTTGCGTGTACTCATCATCCGATCACCCTTCATTTGATTTTCCTTACATCTTCGATCATCAATTTTAGGAACTTCTCCAAACTCGAACAAATTTTGACGTAATTCAGTCATGCCCACTTTTGCTTCTTTATCATTATCTAATACAAAAGTATCATTATCGGATACAAATTTATCAGTAATTGAAACTTTTTTTCATTACCCACTAACACTTCATTTCCTCTTCCTCTTGAACGGTTTCCATCACACTGGATTTCTCTACAACCTCTATTAGTTTTTGTTGGATTAAACTGGTTGTTAACCATTGCTTGTTCTTCAGCTTCATCACCTACCACCGTTAAATACAAATGCACCGTCTTCTTTGATTCAAATATTACATGTCTCAATTAAAATACATCAGTTTCATCTCCAAGCTCCATGACATACCCTAACTCGAGGTGTTTAAAAGACAAACATATATGACTATTTAACACACATGCCTTACTTCTAACCATTTGTAATAACATTTCATGGTCAATGTTAGGAGGAAGATTTAAACCATAGTTTTTCACATTATTTTTAATGTAAACCTCATCTCCATTAACTAACTGCCACGACCCTCCCGTGCACAAAATAATAAAACTCATTTTACAAATCACTCTCCACAAACACAACGAAAAAACAACTTCTATTGGTAATTGAAACTCACAAACTCACAAAAAACCACTTAAATACGTCTATAACAGTTATGCAGAGGTGTACACTGATCCATTGAAAACAGTTTTGAGTATTCTCTAACAGTTATGCAGAGGTGTACACTGATCCGTAGAAAACAGTTCTATAACTGATCTGCAGAGGTGTATACTGATTCGCAGAGGTGTACACTGATCCGCAGAGGTGTACACTAATCCGCATAAAACAGTTCTTACGTGGTTAAGTGATGTGTTAAAAACTCCATAGCTGGACTTCTACAGATCAAAGTTTCCATGGTTCGATTTGAATGAATGAAGTTTATTTCAAAATATGTTTATTATGAAGGTTGTAACAAATCAAAGTTTATGTGGTTTGATTTGAATTAATGAAATTTATTTCAAATTATGTTTATTATGAAGGTTATATGTTTATGTTTTCTAAAATATGTTTTGTAACCTACTTAAAATATGTTTATTATTCAGAATACCGGTGTATGTAATTTTATAAAAAACATGGAATATTTGTATAACTTTTATTAAACATACAACTTTTTTAAACGGGTAATTATATAAGAAAAATGAAAAACAAAAACATTTTTTTACATAATAATCACATAATACCTTATGTGATTAATAATAATAATAATAATAATAATAATAATAATAATAATAATAATAATAATAAACGAAAACAAAAATAAAAGAAAAAACGAAAAAGAAAAAAAAAAAAACCAAGATCCGCAGAGGTGTTTATGGTTCCTCAAAAATGTTTATGGTTCCGTAGAACCCCGTCCACGGAACATGTGGTCATTTTCCGAATTCCTCATTTCCGTGGTCATTTTTTTCAAAATAAACCTAAAGTTTGGTCATTTGTCCAATAAACTCTTATAAAAAATGTAGCTTTTACAACACATTAGATTAGTTGTATAAAATTTGCAAAGATTGATTGTACACGCGTTTTTTTTTTCCTAAAATATGTTGTACATCCTACCATAATATACACCAAAATCTGTATTCTTCTCTTATCCAAATTCTCATTTTGTCGGTCTCTAAAACATACCTTTGAATTGACATGTGATAATCGAGTTGTTGGTAAAAATTATTTTTGTTTGACAAAATATAAGAATCCAAAATGTGCTTCAATCCAAATGCTATCAATTATCAAACAAACATTCTCTAATGATAATGATAAAAAGCATCAACGTCTAAATATCCAACTTTACTTTCTTGAACGCACACTTACTAATAAAATTTTGATATTTTTGAAAGGAAATAAATAGAGTGGTATCATTTTCTACCGAAATTGCCATAACAACCAAAACCAGTATTAGAGCTAACCTTATCTTTATTGTGCAATAATTATCTACCTAATTTAAGTACTAAATCACCATCTACCTTTCCAAAAAGTAATTTCAAAGCCATCTTCTTTCAAGTTTCAAATTGATGGTGGAATGTAAATATGTAATGATTTTTGAAGATAATACAACTCGTGTTTATCCAAGCCGTACAATTGCGCTTCTCATAAGACAAATTGTTATTGATTCTAGGGGTGTAAGTAAGACAAGCCAACTCGCGAGAAACTCGATACCAACTTGAAAAATACTCAAAATCGACTCGATCTTAATTAAGTCGAGCTCGAGCTCGAGCTACTCGAGTACCTTATCGAACCGAGCTCGAGTACAAAAATACTCAGCTTGTAAGGCTCGCGAGCTTAGTGTAATTTACATATATATCATTTCTTTATAATTGTTCATTTATAGCACGTGTCATTTCTTTATAATTATTCATTTATGACATATATGGTCGATGTTATATTGATATTAAGTTATTAATAGTGGTTTTTTGGCAGTATGAACATTTACATGTAGAATGTTTAATATTTCTTACTAAATTTAGTGATTTTGATTTTTTTTAAATATTAGTCGAGCCGAGCTGAGTCGAGCTCGAGACTGTCAAGTATTTCACGAGCCCGAGCTCGAGCTTAAAATCAATGCTCGAGTCGAGTTCGAGCTAAGTTTCGAGCTCGAGTATTTTAGTCGAGCCGAGCTTCGAGCTTGGTAGTATTCGGCTCATTTACACCCCTAATTGACTCTTACTCTTATACTAAATATTCAAGGGAGCTGTTTGAGGTGTGTGATTAAAACATGAAGGAAGGTATAGTTTGTTATGGAATTTGACTCTAAAAGACCTGAGTCAAAGCAATGCATCATACAATGAGAGGTCATTAGAACATGACCCATCAGTCTATTATGATAATCAAAGGAAGAAACTTATCTCAAGATTGTTAAAGAAGGAGTCTCCAATAAAGAACGAGAACATGACATGAAGATCATGATTGGAAGTCTAACATGAGATAAAGAGCGGGTCCAAGATCAGGCACCGCCTGCAGTCAGGAAGTCTTAGAGTTAGATGCTCGTTCGAAGAAACATCAAAGTTACGATTATTACTTAGGATGAAGAGATAACGTATGGAGTTATCATGTGAACCCTGTTTCGTTGATGATTTCGGGACATAATCATCTTAAGGGGGAGATAATTGTAATTCCCGCAGATTCGGGCTAGACAGTTTAGAGACAATAAGCATCAAAAATGAGTTTTTGATGGAATATTATTTAGAAGAATTAATCTTAACCTAGTTTTAGTATATGTTACAAGGGTTCCGTACATATAAAGAATGTCGAAATCCGAGTTATAACGAAGAAGTTATGGTCCGTCGAAGTTTTACGGCAAAACCGACACGGCACCGGGAAACGTAAATAGTGAATTTATGATAGAGGACTTTCAAGCCTTAGAAATCTAAACAAAAATTTTAGTATACATTAAACCAAGAACATACAAAAAAAGAACGCCCAAATCTGACTTCATATAAGAAAGTTATGAATTTTCTAAAATTTGGCATAGCAGTGCACGACCTGAAACTCGAATTTTAGATCGAGTGATTTTTGGCCTATGCGGCCTAAATGAGAGTTAAAAATCTCATTAATAGGAACTCAATGATAAAAATACAGACGAAAACGGAGTTCGTATGTAGAAGTTATGAATTTTATGCGAACATTTAACAGTATAACCTCCTCCTACTGTTAAATTTAAGATCGGACGAGAATTAACCAACGGAGTCGAAATGAAAGTTGTAGATCTTGTTTTTAACTACGCGTGGATATAAATAACATCGAAAACGGAGCTCGTATGCGAGAGTTGTGATTTTTAGAAGTCGGAAAGGGAATTTGCGGAATCTGATGCGAGATAGACGACGTGGCTGAATTCCAGCCGTTCAATGATGATCAGGACTCGCTTCGGATGATGACACGTTGCCCTTCGCCTATGCCCAACGTCTGTACACCCAGCGTTCCGACCATTTGCGCGGTTCCGAGACAAGCCATGCTCCACGACCGAAACCTCGCCACATGTTGTATGATGCGAACTACGCCCCGCGTCCGAGGACCTGTACGCCCAACGTACGTTCGAGGACCAGGCTATAAAAGGAGGCTGAGGGCTGCCTCCATTTTCAAACCAAATATCTTTCTCTCTCTAAATACTTTCTCTCTCTATGGTTTCTACCCCCCCCCCCCTTAAAGCCTAGGTGAACCCACTAGCACCCGAAGGAAGCCCCGAGGCTGGAGTCCCGAGAAAAAGAGTCTTTCGGTTCGGAAACACTGCTCCAAGCGAAGTCCGGTTTTCTATAAAACCTGCTGTAAGTGAGCTACGCCTACGCTATTTTTAGTATAACTTTTATTTAATTATAGTATCGTTATTAAGAACTTATAATAAGTAATTGGGCTATTATTTTGGGTTATATAAGTATTTTTTTTTAACACTTATATAATTGTAATAATAGCCAGACTATTAATTAGTCTCGGTGAATGATAGACTAAACCCTAGTGGTAATGATACTAGGTTTTGATGAAGGAAATTGTTTCAAGAGTAACGAAGCGCTGTCTAAGTTCAGAATGACCACCTTGACAGGTGAGTGCATGGTCCCTTTCATCTTACACATAGATATGAAGTATTTTATATAAATTGCATGCTATGTGTGCATATTATTTGTATAATTGCTATCTATGTTGGATAAACGATTTTATACAAGTTTTATATGATTTAAACTGTATATGTATTTATATCTACATAATATATTGGGTAAAACATGGGTAGATGAAATATGAGTTGGATGATGAACTGATAGTTGATATAATTCATAAGGTAAGGGTGAGAGGTGGACGATGTGAGAAGCCTTGTTCCCAAATGTTGGCCCTGTCATCTAGCAGAGTATGGATGACAACCACGGATAATTCTAGACAGTCCGGTGGAACACTAGCAGACTCGCAACCTGTAGGTATTGTGAACGATGTGTTCACCAGTGTACTCTAAAACCCCATTGACATGTATTGCGAGTGGACTCTCGAAAACGATACTGACAATAAATGAAATAACCCTAGCAGCTGTGCTCGAAGGAAAATACTGGCAGCTGCGCCTCATAGAGAATGTCACAATTATGGCAGTTGCGCCTAAGTGGTAGAACTAGCAGCTGTGTCATTGACAACGATGGACTTCGTACCTATTCATTAGGATAATCCTTAGGAATGAATGAATAGGAAATAGCTGATTCTTTGGGTAGACCCTTAAGAGTAAAGAAGATAATGGAGATGAGTAATTGAGTTAACTGTTTGATGATTAAACATAATAATTATATTATTGTGGGTTAAAAACCCTATTTACTCACCAGGTTTCCCAACCCGACCCACTCAGTTTATTTATATCACAGGTGTTGATATAGAGTCACATTACACTGAGAGATTAATGAGATATAAATCACTAGTGATAATGAATGTAAGTTATGTTTATGCTTATGTTTCTGTATTTACGATGACATCCCAAATGTTTTAAAATGAATACAAATATTTTTCTTCGGAAATGATTTGATAACGTATTTATCATATTTCAATGGGAACAAATTCCACAACATTTTTATTAAAAGTGGTACTATGGTTTTTATAAAGCATAAACAAAATCGGTATTTTTCTGGCCGTGAAAACGGGGATGTCACAGTTAATCATAAAATACCCAGAAATCGATTTGTTTCTTCCTAATGCCATCTATTTGAGATATCACATATTCGTCTCCATGGAAATAACTCCTTTATTTGCAAAAGATATATAGATTATTGAGAATAATATATAGAGGAAGTGTATGTGTGAGGTTTGATTTGCAGGTGAAAATGAGGAAGAAAACGATAGGAGAGAGAGTTGAGAGTATAATAGAGAGAAGGGAGAGGGTTACCGGTGAGGTGGGTGTGATTTTTTTTCATAATTAATTAAATAGTAAAATAAATCAAGAAAAATAGAAAAAAAATAAAATAAAGGCAAAGTAGTCCTTTCATGTGCTATTTGGATCAAAACCACACAAATTTCTTAATTTTAGGATCAAAATCACAGAAAATTCTTGATTTTAAACCTTTCATGCAAATTGAAAAGTTTTTGAACCTTATCCATAATTTTTCAAAAACCATAGGGATCGATTTTACATTTTTGTCTTGCAATAATGATACCTGATAGTAAAATTATCATTTTAAAAAATGTTAATAATCAAACTGTTAAACTTAACATATCTAAAATTGGACCACTTTTGTATCGCAAAACATTTTTTTTACTAAAACCACATAATTTTAACAGCCACATGATCATTTTTGCAATTTTGTCTATTATAAACGAATTTTGCTTTTATACATATAAAAAATAAATATATTTAAAAGCTTAGTCATATTAATGTTTCTAAATGAAAACCAATTATCTAACTTTTGTAAGAAAAATTCCAAATAAACCAATATTTTTTTGTTAAAACTTATAATGAATAGTCGGCCGATTAGCACCAGCCATGACTTCTTCAAGTACACATTAAACCAATTTTGAGTTAGTCTTTGTCAGTCATTTCATCTAACACTTGTGCGTGTGTTTGTTACCTTCCCTTTTGTGTTTTCCTTTTATCTTCCCATTCACGGTCAACCAGAGCGGTTTATACATGTGATGTATGTGTTTTAGTCATTTGTTATTATTTTCTAATTTAGTTTTACTTGTTTAATTAGTTAATATAAATATTTTATATTTTGTGCTTTTGTTTCAATTTGATTTGAATTAATTTTTTCTCAAAAAGAACTTGCATCATTTTATATTTATTCAAATTGTTATTTTAACAAATTTGACCGCAAATTTTCTAATTTTAGATTAAGGGATAATGTTATAAAAAACCTTAAGTTTGATAGAAAATGTCGGTTTTACCCTTCGGCAGATTTTTTGTTCATTTATATCGCAAACTTATCATTTTTTTGTCGGTTTTGCCCTTGTTACCTGCAATAGCAGGTTTCCAGGTTATTATGAATTATTTTTTGCGAAAAAACCCTTAAGTTTACAAATATTTTGCAAAAAAACCCTTAAGATTATAAACATATAAAATATAAATATATATTCAAAATTTTATAAAACTAAATAGTTTTCTACTGAAACATATTTTTAGCTTTATGTATGGTAAATTTTATATTTGTTTGATATAAAGTTTTTATATTTAAATTTTAAAAAAGTTACCTAGTTTTATCAAAATTTAAATATTTATTAATTAATATTTAAATTTTTCAAAGTAACATTAAAAAAACGTCTGTTAACTAATTAACAAATGTAACTACACATTTTTCTTATTTTTGATATATAAGTATTTTTAATAATATAATTATAATATAATTAATTATTAATAACTGCTTAGAAGTTTACGATGATCAAATACATTCATTCAAATGATTAAACCGCGATGCATGGCCAAGTTGTTTAACTCAACCAATAGAGTGGCAACAAATATTCCAAGTTCCAACACCCTTATTAATTTATTATTATTCATGTCACTTTACAGAAACACAAAATTGATGTTTTCAATTCTATTTTAACTTTGGATAATAAATCTAATCAAATACCATGACTACTTAAAAAAAGTTCATTTTGAATTTTGATACTACCTTTTAAACTTCAAGCTTATTTAAATAAAATCTTAAATTCAATTTTATTTTTATTTTTATTTTTTTAGTTTAAAAAAAAAAAAAAGGAAAAATGTTTTCTGATTAATGCCATTGCCTATTGCCACCAAACATGGGCCTTAGTAGAACATGGAAGTAAAAGATGTGGAAGAATCGGCACGTGACAGATCACATGCGAAGTGTAGAACCAGAACGACGCCATTATAAAACCCCCAAAGAACAAAAGACATGGTCAATGGAACAAGACAAAACTTTCAGAAGAAACATCTGCGAAATTCATAATTCTTTGCTCAATTCCATTCTCCACTCCGATACGCAAGACACCAAGATTTCGTTCTGTAACTGAAACCCACATTCCCTGCAGTCGGTGACTATTTATTTATATATTTTTTCGTTACGGATTACCGCGTTTGTAGCCTGATCTTGCATGATCTAGCTTGCATATCCTCTCTCTATATCTAGTTTTCGTATTTACTAAACAGCTTCAATTCTTTATTTTTTTGTTTCTTTAGTTTGAAGATGGAAAGGTTTTGGAAATACAATCGGTTTAAGCTGCGGTTAGCAATCCTTTTTGTTGTTGCATTAGTAATCGATCACAGTTCTAGCCTCTGTTGGTCTCTCAACACCGAAGGTGTGGCGTTTTCCGAAGCAACTCTTTGAATATTGACTGAAATTTGAACTCGTTGATTAACGTTTTGGGAGTTGTGGTTTTGCAGGATTGGCGTTGTTGAAGTTTCGAGATGGAATTGAGAGGGACCCTTTAGGGGTTTTGTCTGGTTGGAATAACGACGATGAAGCGGCGGATTCGGGTCCTTGTTCTTGGTTCGGCGTTGAGTGTTCCGATGGAAAAGTGGTCATATTGTAAGCTTTTATCGTCTCATCACTCATCAATTAATGTTCATATGATATGTGCAGTGAATCTGATGATTTAGTTTGTGAATCCCATTCCGTGAATGATTTGACTTGAAGGTGTTCGATCTAATGCCTAGCTGAGTGAATTAAGCTTGATTTCTTGTTAACTTACAGGAATTTAAGAGATCTATGCCTTGAAGGAACGCTAGCACCAGAGGTCGGGAAGTTAACAAATGTAAAGTCCATGTAAGCATCCAAGATTCATATCAAAACCTCCATTACTGACTAATCATGTTCTGATGATTCTTTCATATATTGTATTTACAGTATTTTACGCAATAATTCTTTCCATGGAACAATTCCTCAAGAAATTGGAGATTTGAAGGAACTGGAAGTGCTGGATTTGGGATACAATAACTTCACTGGGCCATTCACATCTGATCTTGTCAATAACCTTTCCCTATCAATTCTGTAAGTTTTTTTTTTTTATATTTCAATCGTTACATAATTTAAAATGTTCATAATCTTTTAGCTAACTAACTTCATATAATTATGAATGCAGTTTATTAGACAACAACAAATTTCTCGATAACCTTTCACCAGAAGTAAACAACCTCAAAACACTTTCCGAGTTTCAAGTAGATGAAAACCAGCTCACAACCTCTCATAATAACGACTTCATCTGTAACAAAAGATCCAGTTCTTGGTAAGTTTGACTTTACATTTTACAGTCAAGATAACTAATTTCCAACTCCAAATCCATCAATTAACAAAACCCACATCAAATCTTGAATCAAAATCTCCATATTTCTTACAGGAATGTAATCGAATCCGGATATGTTACAGAAAGAAAGCTATTACAGTTTTCACCATCAGGTGCTCCCGTTTCATCTATATCATTGCCTCCATCTGCCACATCACCTTCCACGTCACCAGCTTCATCCCCATCACCTTCCACGTCACCAGTCTCATCCCCATCACCTCTTTTCCCAATTCCAGCAGAAACGCCATCTTTATTACCAGAAAACAAACCTGCTTTAGCTCCTTCACCTCGAAGCTTTATATCTTATAAATCAAAACATAACACAGTTCTTATATGGTCTGGGGTATTAGGAGGGTTTATGTTTATATTTCTTTCTGTTTTTGGATTTGTGTTTTTTAAAAGAAGTAGAGTGGTTACTGTTAACCCATGGGCTACAGGGTTAAGTGGACAGCTGCAAAAAGCATTCACAACAGGTTTGATTTTTTATTTTTATTTTTATTTTTTGTCACTTTGTCTTTCTTTTTCATATATTACACAAAAGGTTATATATATATATATATATATATATATATATATATATATATATATATATATATATATATATATATATATATATATATATTTTTATGGGTGATTTCAGGTGTTCCTAGTTTACAGCGCCCTGAACTTGTGACAGCTTGTGAAGATTTTAGTAATATAATCGGGAGTATGTTAGATGGAACTGTTTATAAAGGGACTCTTTCAAGTGGGGTTGAAATAGCTGTGACATCAACTGTTATAACGTCTGTTAAAGATTGGACTAAGAGTCTAGAAACACAGTTTAGAAACAAGGTTAGAAACGTAGTTACATATGAAATAGAAAATCTTGCTTCTTTTTTTAAGTATTTTTGATTTTTTGGGGTTTATTTGTAGATAGAGATGTTGTCGAAGGTGAATCACAAGAACTTTGTGAATTTGATTGGGTATTGTGAAGAACAAAAACCTTTCACTAGAATGATGGTTTTTGAGTATGCTCCAAATGGGACCCTCTTTGAGCACTTGCATAGTAAGTTTCTTTTTACATTCGAAGGTTATATACGGAAAATCACACTACATTTATTTTTGATCATATGAATTATTGAAAAAGTTATTATATATAATTATCATGGAAAAAGCCATTGCGTTAACACTATTTCTGTTTGGTCTCTTTAATCGATTGAAAAATGAAAAATAAAAAGTTTACTTTAAATTCATGGATATGAATGAAAGTTACGTGTATATATATATATATATTTTTTCTTATGGGTTTTATATATATACGTACTTATTTTTCTCATGGATATTTATCATATAGTCTCAAGAAACATGCATGCCTTGTGTTCATCGGTCAATTTGACTTCAATAACGTTTGTGGATAATATTTGAAAATATAATTTCTTTATTAGAAAAGAAAAATTCGATAATTTCTTCTCTTCTGTTAAAAAAATGATAAAATGGTTTTTTCAAAAGGTAAATGCAAGGACTTTTTCTCTTCGCCTAAAATAGTAATACCATAGTTTTTTCAATTATTTCATGCAATAATGCAATGGGCTCGTTCTTCTGCAGCCATTAAAACCAACAAAATGTTATTTTTAACAGTAGAAAAATTATGTACTCGTTTTTCCCTTGAAATAACAAAATGGCTTTCTTCTATAATTAGAAAAAAAAAATGTCGCTTTTCTTTATTGAGCATTTTTCAATGCCTAATCATTCGTTCGAAAATTCAAATACTTGTCAGAATAAATTTGTAATAATCATTTGACTTTTTCATCATCTTCATTAGATTCTTTGATCAATCATTCATATCTTCAACATCAAGAATAATGTCGTGCAATAGCAACTGTCATTATTCATTATTCATCCTACACTTTTTTTTTTTTTTTTTTTTTATCTCTCATAACAACTGGCATACATCCAAAGCACATGAAAGAATTAGGTAGAGTACAGTAGTAGTTGATATAATTATCGACTCATCATTTCCTAATAAATATTTATATTTATATTCAACAGTTAAAGAATCGGAACACCTTGACTGGTCAATGCGGTTGCGTATAGCTATGGGAATGGCATACTGCCTTGAATACCTCCACCAGCTCAACCCACCCATCGCCCACAACAACCTCCAATCATCTTCCGTATATCTAACCGAAGACTATGCTGCCAAAATCTCAGATTTCAGCTTTTGGGATTCCCAAAAAACGGGACCCACAAAACCCCACACCCCACCTTCATCTTCATCTTTATCTTCATCTCCACAAACAAATGTCTATAGCTTTGGTTTGATCCTATATGAACTAATCACTGGTAAGGTACCTAACCCTAATAGTAATAGTAACACCCCAACCCCAACATGGGTATCGGATTTTTCAGTGGATCCGACTTTGACTTGGGTCAAACAAGATTCGGTTGATGAATTATTTCAAGTGGTGAAAAGTTGTGTTCTTTTAGAACCGAATGAAAGACCGAGTATGAAAGAGGTGACATCTAGGTTAAAGGAGATTACAGACATGACACCTGAAAGCACGATACCAAGATCATCTCCACTTTGGTGGGCTGAACTTGAAATCTTATCATCGACAGAATCTATTTAGAAACATTTTGTATCCTATTTTTTTAAGTGAAAGTGAGTTTTGTCTGTGTATATATATTTTTTCTATGTAGTTTAATAATAAGTTTCCGTTTCTTCATCTTTAATGTAAACCAAATTGCAACTCTTTACTTCCAATTTGTAAGAACAAGAGAGAATCTCAAAACTCAAAACCCAAAATTATAATGTTCAAGAATTTATAAAGAAACAATGATTTTACAACTTACAATTAGGCTCCTTGTATATGCATGGAATTACATCTTTCTCCTTCTTTTTTGAGCCTAAATTCGCGAAATGTAATACACAGCTCGATTCGTAGCCCTTGAACTTTCTTGATTCTGAACTTTCAAAATCTCTTCTTCTTCCATTTTGTCATGCATGCATTTTGGCCATGAATCTGCAATTGATCTTCATTTCATTTCATTTCATTTCTCTCCAAGATGATTGGAAAAGTAGAAAGTCATGTATATTCAGCAGCTTTTTGTGTTCGATGATAAAGCTCAAGAGTGTCCTTATGAGTAGGATCCAAACATAATCCCGCTTCACAATCTCTTAATGCCAGCTCATACTCACTCATTGACTCATAAAATGCTGCTCTAAGATGAAGCATTTGAAGCTCAGGTTTAAAAGCTATCGCCTTTGTAAGCTCTTCAACAGCCTCACTTTCCTTTTGTTCATCCATCAACACTAACAGATTCAACTTTACCACATTAACAAGATTCCATTTTTTTAATTTTTTTTTTTAAATATAAAATCTGGTGGAAAAAAAAGTACCTGCAGCTCGATATCTATATGGGTAAGTTCTTAATGGATCCAGCTGTGTAGCCATTGACAGATCACTTGTAGCATTATCACGATCACAATACTCTGATCTTTTTTCATAAGCAGAAGCACTATTTCCCGCCTTTTCTATCAACTTTGTCATCTCATCATATGCAGCTTTTCTTTCATCTTTTAAAGAATAAACACGTGCAAGCCCTTGATGAGCTCGTGTATGCTTAATATCAAGAGCATTTATATAACAATCTGCAGCAAGATCATGCTTCCCACAATCCACGTATATACTCCCAAGATTATTCAACGCCTACAAGATTCGATTTTTTCATTACCCTTTTCGTTCTTTAAGGTTTAGGGTTTAGGGTTTGTGAAAATTGAAATTACTTACTTGTCCTTTTCGAAGACCATCTGAAGGGCATTTGAGAGCATCGATAAGAAGTTGTATAACAAAAGAAGAAGAATCAGAATCCAGAGATGCATCTGCTAATGTATATGCTTTAAGAAAATACGCCTCGAATGATCTTTGAATCAAAATCGACTCTTCAGCTTTTGAAAGAGCTTCTTCTCGATAACCCGTGTCATATAAAATCCACCCTTCATAAACAAGACGTTCATGTTTTGTATTTGCAAGATTTCTAGCCAAACGCAAGCTCCGCATGGCTGCCTTTTGGCAATTTAATCTAGAAAAAAAAAAGTTCCTTTTCAAGATCCTTAAAACAAAATTTAATAAAAAATAAGAATAGACTTATACCTTAAAAGAAGTAAAGATTGTCTGAATCTTAAAAGACTCTTCCCTGGATCATGAACAAGCATCTGATGTATAATTGCAAGTGAACCAATGTCATCTATACAAGACCATCGATCATAAAGCTCCACCCAACAATCAGCTGGTGTCCATTGTTGTACTTTTTGATTAACAACTTCTACCAAATTATCACCTCTCATTTTCCCATGGAACATCATGTAATTCGGGTCTAAACTTAACAATGCACATATATCTCTCACAGCAGCTTGATAATCTTCAAGGCAAAGATGAAACCAAGCCCTTAATTCAAGACAATCAGGGGAAATTTTGAAACGGATTATCTTGTTGATCTCTTCAACAGCTTCATTGATTTGATTCTCACCCACCATTGATACTGATCTGTATTTATATGGGTATGAAAGTGTTGGATCCAATTTGGTTGCTTCTTCTAAATCTAGAAGCTTTTTGCTTCCAAGAGTGTATAAAGATCGTTCTTGATACATCCATCCGTTTGGTTTGTGTTCTGATAAAATCTTGTTGATTAGTTCACGTGCTAAATATGTTTTCCCTTGTTTATACATTGTTCTAGCAATCCCTGCTGCTGAATAAACATGACCCATTTCAAAAGCTGCTTCGAAACATGTTTGGGAGTGTTTGTATTCTTCTCTTTCAAATAACAAAACACCTAGTTGATGATACGCAAGGGTTTTCTGCCATGTGTTGGTAGCTGATTCGATGAGTCTTTCGAAGAGTGTGACTGTGTTGACTGATGTCATCTTTTCTTCCATGGCGACTTGGGTGAGGAGATAGTATAAGAGAAAGGAGGAATGATTAACGGAAGCAAGTTTCTCCATGGATTCAGAAGAGGAAAATAAGGTTAGAACTTTGGGGTTGTTTAAAGAGCTTGGAAGCTCTCTGAGTAGAACTTGTAAGCATGAAGCTACAAGGAGACTTGCCATGTTTTCAAATCCGTATTCGATGAAGATCAATGCGTCTTCAATGGTGGAAATTAATGGAGACAGGTAAACCTCACAGGCTGATTTCATTTCCTCGCAGCAGAACTTCTGTGAAAATGATAGAATCTCCAAAACTATACTTGGAGAGAAAAAGTTTTCCATTTGTTTTGTTCTGCTAAATACTTCCACACCTCTCATGGCTTCTTTTGAGATCCCAATTCGAGAAAAATCGATGGTTTCTTTTGCAGATTCGATGAAATTGCCGTATAATAAGGTGTTTAGTGGGCTAGACAATGAAGCTATTTTAGGTCTGAGACAAGTGATTACCTCGTTTCCGATGCAAAACCAGACGATTTCGTCATCGTTGCCATGAACTAAGAATTCGTTGTTGAGGGAAGTGCGGCAACCAGTGACATTGAGATTCTCAGAGGCGTTTTCGGAAACACATTGGCAGCGATCGAAAACGGAATGGGAAGGATCATACCCGATATCGATCAAAGCGGATTTCGGGCATTCGAGAACTTTACCGATACAATCCATGGCGGAAATGCCCACAAGCTCGTCTTCTCTCCTCTCATACCGCAGCCACGCAGAGAGTATAACCTTCGAATGTATGTCGACAGCGTGTTCCCGAGCAGACTGTAGACTTCTCCGAAGCAGCTTCGGATCACCAACTGCACAGAATAGCGCGTACTGTTCTAAATATAGACCACAACTTTCCGATTCAGAGGAAGAATGGATGATTCTCTTGTAGAGGTCCGAGATTGAGTTAATGAAATCAAGGGGATTAAGGTGAGGATCTAAGGGGGGTTCAATAAGGTGTGTATCAGGGAGCCCATAAGGAAGAAGCGATTTAGCATTGACGAATGGGAGTGTTGTCGATTCATCGCTGTTCGATGAAGACGAGGACAAAATGGAGTTGATGGTAAGAGCATGTACTTGGGTGGGTTTTTTACACCGGTCTTTGAACTTAAGACCACCGGATTTCATGGTGTTTGTAAATTGACGGATCAGATTCGCGATTTTCGCTGATCTTGGTGATGATGATGAACACCCATCATGAGTAGCAGTTGAGATCGACATGAATCAACTGGGTGTTGATGAAATCGTGGGTTAATTTAAACCTAGCCAGCGTTCACCACCATTGATGCAGAGCAGAACCTTGACTGCTGCTGCGTGCATCCGTGATTGTATGAGAGAGAAAGAGAGAGAAAAAGAAAGAACATGTTTAAGGGGTTTTAATTATTAGTTTATTTTCTATCAACATTATTAAATAAATCTAGAAAAAGATTTGTTGGTGTAAAATCTTTTGGAGTGTTATTCAATAGATAATTAATGTTATAAAAAACGAGAGTGAATTTCAAGAAACTTTATTCTGCCATGAAACACATAAAGAACCTTGCATTGCATCCATGTGTGTGTCTTTAAAAGTAATTTTTCTCATATTGAAAATTTTTATTAAAAACAAAAGAATAAATTACAGTTTTGATCCATATAGTTTGCTCTAATATGCATTTTTGGTCTAATGTTTGATTTTTTTTGACATTACCAGTCCATGTAGTTTCCAAATCTTGCACCGAAGGTCCTAAGATAATTACCTTCTATGATGCTCCGTTAAGTGCATGTGAATTGATAAAATTGCCCATTTTTTATCATTTTTTAAAATTTTTCTTATTATTAATTTGACTGTAACTATAATCATCCGACCTATCTTGATTCCACCATTGACTCCACCTATTACCATCATTAACTCTACTACCACCATCATCACAACCAATAATTATCACCATCGTCATCACTCATTATCACCATCTTCATCAATTGCTATCATTTCATCACCAATAATCATCGTCATCACCAACTCCAATCACTAGTTCACCACCATCACAATAATCATCACCATCATCATCAATCACCACTAGTCCCACCGCAGTCACCATCAATAATTATCAACATTACCATCACTCAATATCATCATCATCATCCACCACCAATAATCACCACCATCACCGACTCCGATCACTACCATCACCAACACTAATCGTCATAAATCACCAATAGTGTAACCACCATCCCCATTACCAATCATCATTATTACTGTTATCACCGAAATAGCGACACTAATCACCATCATTGCCATCAATTACCACAATCCCCACTACCAATCACCCCACCCATAAGCATCATTACTCACCACCACCCTTATTATCACTACTAATCACCACCACCAATTACCACCTCCTCACTTATTATCACCATTAAACAACCTTTGATCACATCACCGGGTAAATCGAAAAACTCAAGCAGAAAAAATACCAAAAAATTAGAAAACTCGGAGAATCAAAGAACTTGTGAAAGCAAACCTAGAAAAGGGACAAAAGAACGAGGGTAACTATGGTGGCTAGAGTTGCAGGAGAGAGACAGAGGGGGGGGGGGGTTCGATGATGAACTATGACGGTTGGAGGTATTGGAGTCGAAGTTGCAAGAAGTGGGATAAATATATAGTTGATGGTGTCTATATATCGGTGATGGAGTGCCGACAATTGTAGAGTTCCATGATAAGAAAAAGGTGATGGCATGTGTATTCCTAACATGTCATTATTATCATTTCACACCAATTTAATAGAGACCCACTATCATAACATCTTTATCAACCATATGTGAAAACTTTTGGAAATCATAAGGATCAACCATGTTGAGAAAATATAAAGTTACCTTAAAAGGACATATTGGGAAAAACCACAAGGACCAAAAGTGTACTTTACTTGAAGCAAAATAAAAAAAATGATAAATTTTCATAAATGGCCCTTTAGATTTTTTGTTTGTCCCTAAAATGGTCCTTATGAAACTTTTTTCTCGTGGATGGTCTGTATGGTGCAAACATTGCACACAAATGGTCCTTGTGAATAACACCATTAGTTTTCTGTTAAATATAATATGAAAAGACTAAATTGCCATTTTTTTATTTAACTGTTACCCGATGTCCCCTTTCTTTCTCTCTCAAATCCACCAGACTAGCCTTAATATTCCCTATTTCAAACCTCAAATTATAAAAATTGAGACCCAAAAAATTGAGACACACACATACGCACACTCCAAAATCCTTATCCCCACTTACAATAAAATGATAATGAACTGGAGACTTAAAGAAGATAAAAAAAAATTGGGATTATGGTTTCTTTGTTGTGTTTATAGATGATGAGTGTGATGGTGTTTGTTTATGTGATGGTATTCATCGGTGTGATGGTTTCAGGATAAGATGGTGATGGTTTGGATAGTGCAATGGTCATGATTAGGTCAGAACAAGGGCTAATAAATAAAAGGTGGTGTTCGGTTGTGGTTATGATGGTTACAAAGAAGATGATGAAGGTGATTGCATGGGGTCTTTGATTAAATGGAAATGGAATCATCTTGATCACTTCTTTGATTTGTGCTATTTAATGGGGTTTTTTTTGGATTTGGAACCTTTGGATACTGATTTTGGATATGAAATTGTGGGGGGTTTTTTTTATCCATCTTATGGTTCGAGTCTGAATTGAGGCGTCGACATGGAGAGATGAGGCTACGAAAAATAGAGCTTCAACCACCCGCCGGTTTCCTGCACTATTGAATGAAAGTGGGTGACATGTGATCTTTAATGGTGACGACTGTGGGTAATAATCATAGTTGCAGAAATCGTTAATCGGCCGCTAATCGATGGACTAGCGATTAGGGATAATCGGCTAGGCGGGTATTAATCGAGAGATTAATCGGGGACCATTAATTATTAAGAAAATTATTCAAAAATTTATAAATCTAATTTTAATCCTACAACAAAAGTGATTAATCGGCGATTAGGTCCGATTTTGACCTGCGTTGACCAAACCCGATTAGTTCTGATTAAGTCCGATTAGGTCTGATTAACTTCGACTTTGACCTATATTGACCAAACCCGATTATAGTGACCGATTAGCAATAAAGCTCATCAGTGGAGGTCCGATTTACGATTAATCGACCGATTAGGCCGATTTCTGCAACACTGGTAATAATTGATCCTTACCTTCATCATCACTATCCCTTAAGTATGTTCCCTTAGGATCGGTGTTCTTATTCGTGTTTGGTCTATTAGAATCAGGCCTCCTTTATTTCTTTCTTGTTTTTAGTTTATGTCTACCACCTTTGTGCATTTATAATTTTGAGAGCCAAGAAACAAAAGAACATATTTTCTCATCCTATTCCCTTTAAGTATGATCCCAGATTTGTAATGGTTTGTGATGCCTTGGGTATTTCTATCTTCAATGATTTGCATGTATGTATTTTGATGGAGGAAAAAAGAAGTCGCAGCCTTGGAATCCAAGAAAAATGATGATGAATAAGGGATTTTTTGTGTTTCTCTTGCTTTGCGTGTGTATTGTGATAATGGGGAGAGAAAGAGAGTTCAGAGTTATTTATCATAAAAAACAAAATATTTATTAAAGGTATATTAGTAATTTCACATAGGTTTAACTATAAATTGTTAACAAAGTTAATCAATAGGACCAGTAGCGGGACAAATTTAAAACTAAGAAGACCATTATGTGTATTTGTTCTATGTGGACCATTTTAAGGACAAACGAAAAAGTTAAAGGACTATTTGTGAAACTTTCTCTAAAAAGCCTAAGAAGTTTAATGATGGAAAATGTTAATGGAATGATCGAACTTCACTTCCATGGCTTTTTTGCGGGGGACACTAATGAAATGGCTAATGGTGAGGTGGAAAATGGATCAACTGCTTTGAGGAGATTATTTTCTTCAAAGATTCCGAGAAATAAGGATAACAAGAGATAGGATCCGCCCGGTATGGGATGAGTCAACTTAGATTCTCTCATAATCCTCTAGTACTCAACCTTAATTGGCGCTGCTGAGCCGAAGAACTTGTTGTCGAAAAGGAAAAAAAAAGTACACTACCCTTATAATACACTGGCTAGCGCCTTTGTTCGATTGGACTGGGGCCTCAGCTTTTTTAAGGTAAAGACATTGGGAAGGTCCTCTTGCTCCGCTCTATCCTCAAGATAGAATAATATAAACAAATTTTCTTTTTAATTAAGACCATTTCAAACCCATATTCATTTTTCCCCAAAAATAGAGTAAAAAATAAGTTAAATAGTGTTTCATCTCCAACCCAACACCATTTTTATCCCCTTTTTACCCTCAAAACATATATTCCTAGTATATTGCATTCTTCCAACTTATATAAATTATCATACACACCCATTTTACTAATTTGGTTTTAACAAATATATAATCTATATTTTTTTTTCATTACAATAATATTAAATAAATAAGATTATATTTATAATACTTAATTATAGACTTTTGTAAAATACATTATCGTGTTTTAAAATTTCAATATGTATTTAAATTTTTATATGAATTTAATAAATAAAGAACAAACTTTATATTTATAATAAACTGATATAATTTAATATATAAGACAATATTCTAAGTACTAAATATTACATTTAATTATTACTAATAGATAATAATAAACTAAAAATGTAGACAAAATTACAAAAATGGTCCTTGTGGCTTGTCAAAAGTAACAAACTTAGTCCCTATCTATTTTTTTTGATGTATTTGGCCATTGTGGTTTGTAAAAGTTGCATTGGAGGTCCTTTTTCTTAACACCGTCAATTTTAGCCGTTTGGGGTCATTAAGTTGGGGGTATATTCGTCTTTTTACGTTTGGCGCTCATTTAAGATGGATTAGGCAACGATACGTCATTAACTTATCCTCATTAAGCAGAGTCCAAGAAACCCCATTCTTCTCCTCTTCACCTTAGCCTACTGATCATCTTGACAATCTTTATCCTTCATCCCTCCCATCCGATTTTAGGTTTTATCAACTGAAAATGGTACTTTGTATGTGGAATTTACGTGGTCCTCATACGATTGCACCCGACCTTGATAAAGATTACAATAAGTTGTTTCATCTTTTGTTTGGTGTTTCTTGTTTTATATATTCAAGGCTCATCATTTTTCTTTTTCAAATAGTCACGACAATTTCTTCACTTTAAAAATACATCATGATGGATTTTTTTCAAAGTTCCCAGGAAGAAAGTACGTTGAGGGAAGGTTGGCATTCTATGACTTTAGTGACACTGATCTTTTTTCAGTTCATGATCTAAATGACATGATTCGTGAGATAGGGTATTCTGCGGATGACACAATGTACTATCATTATAGAATTCCTAATCTAGACTTAGATTTTGGATTGAAGGCTCTAGGAAATGATCAAGACGTTATATCTATGACTCAATTTGTCCCTCAAAACAGAGTGATTAATGTGTACGTTGAACATGGTTCTACAAGACTTCATACTTACTTCATCTCCCCAAGTAAAGTTGTTATTGAGCAACTGGATGATGATCCTTCTCCTGAGCTTAATAGGATTAGGCCTAAGAAGAAGAGAATTGGTTCGTGTGTAACACTGTAAAAATTTGAACAATTTTTCACTTTTGTAACCCATAAAATATCATTTGAAATTATAAACAAATCATTATATCAACATTGTATCAATACAAAACCTAATATCAAAATTTATATATAAACTCCGGTATGCGTGTGTACGAATCATGCCGACGCCTTCCTACGATCATCGCTGGTACCTGAAACACATAACACATAACATTGTAAGCATAAATTCTTAGTGAGTTACCCATATACCACTCTAATACATAATAGCCACTCGAGGCTGTAACTCTGTTGACCCTCAGGTCTATGTGTCTCAGTGGGGCCCTCCAACCCCAACTCTCTATGGGCCCTCTGGCCCTAACTCTGTGGACCCGAAAGTCCTAACTCTGTGGACCCAAAGGTCCTAACTCTGTAACTCTGAATCGTACATATCACATATCACAATAAATCATAGCACATAAATAACATGAAATTACACTGGCATATAACTCTAAATACTCTATCACATAACTCTGTTACCACACTAGGTAAAGTATAGTGAGAAGACTCACTTCAGGCGTCTCGGTAAATCTATGACTCGATAGGAATATTGCCTAGTCTTCACCTATTCACATAAAGTAAATACTCTTATAAATATAATTCTAGAGACTAGACTCAACCTGCCTTTGGCACCCTGAGGAGGGGAAAAAGGCTATTTTACCCCCCTCTCAACACAAGTACTCCATTGACCAAACCCTAAAAGTCAACGGTCATACTTTGACCCTACTCGCCGAGTGCACTCTGGTGACTCGGCGAGTTCACACATGTTCTTTAACACTTTGTCCCGCTTGGCACGCCGAGTCCTTTCCTATGCTTGACAAGTCATACTAGGCATGAATCGCGGGGCCACCACGACTCAACTCGCCGAGTCTCAAGAACAACTCGGCGAGTGCCGCCTTGAACTCCAGTCCTCTAACTCCCTTCTGACTCACTGAGTCATCCCCCAACTCAGCAAGTCTACTCACTGAGCAATTTACGTGAAACCCTAACCCTACTCGCCGAGTCTCAGGAACAACTCGGCGAGTTCATGCCATGCACAAACTCTACTGGCCTCCTGAGGTCAGATCTGTTTCCCTAAATCAAAGATCTGGCCTTCCCAAGCATGAATGTCACGTAAAGCTCGAAACTTGATGCTTGTATAACAACAACAAGGCATCAAAAGGAGATTTAGTCCCAAAAATGGCAACCTAAGTCCAATAACCCCAAACTAATCCATAAAGCTCCAAGGGTTAAGGTCTCTGGATCTCTTTGAGTCCAGATCCAAGGCACAAAATCAAAGAGGGACCATTTGCTCCACATAATCACTCTCCAAAGGCGTTAGAAAACCCTAACTCTATAGATTAACACCAAAACTGAAGGAGGTTCGAACTATTACCTCAAAATGAAGTCTCTGAATCCCTAGAACTGCTAGAATTGCACCTCCCCTCTTGCTCTTGCACCTCCTTCTTGCTAAACCAAAGATACAAGGATCAAAAGTGTCTTATTCTTCCTTTCAACGATTTGGCTCACTTAGGGTTCTCTCAGGGGATTGGTAGCCGCAATGAGAGGCTATAAGTGCCCTTAAATAGGCTCCAAACCCGAGGATTTAGGGTTTCATTAAACAGCGTGGACTCGCCGAGTCCACTCATGGACTCGCCGAGTCCAAAGCGAATCCAGATGAACAATCACGACCCTACTCGGTGAGTCTACGCATCAACTTGCCGAGTTCCTTCTCATAATTCAAAATAATTAAATAAAATAATATACCTGGAAACCCGGATGTTACATCGTGTAGCAAGAAATTAGACATGAATGTCCCACTTAAAGAATCAGGTAATCAAGCTCAGAGAGAAGATGGTGTGTATGATTTTTCCATGTCCCTAGTTCCTTTTGAGCCAAAAAAACAAGACATGGTTAATGAGTTTAAGGATGATTCGTATTTCCCTGTACCAGAAGAAACTGATACAATGCATGAAATTACAGTTGATATTAATTGCCAGAATCATAGGGAAATGCTAGATGATTTTGAGCCTTTTAGTAGTGATGGATATCAGAATATAGGTGAGCTTGAAAGAGAGGTTGAAGCTGAAGAAGAACAAGATGAAGAAGATGAACAAGGGCATGCAGAGGATTCAAAAGATGATTCAAAAGAGCATACAGAAGAAGATGATGATTCTGACTACATTGTTGACCCAGAAGGTATTTTAGATGACTGGGAGGTTGATATGAGAGAGTTTCACAGTTGTGTGGATAAGGTTGAATGGTTTGGACAAGGTCCAAACATAAAATTAGATTTAAATCAAGATGATGATTTAGGTGTGATCAACAATGATGAGTTTGAAAGTGCAGGATATGAGGAAGACCTAAGGAAGAGAATGTTAAAAAACCTAAACAAGAAGGTGCCTTGTTCTTCTGGGGTAGTTCATGTTACACCATTTTTTGTGGGTCAAGCTTTTAAAACCAAAAAAGATATACAAGGTCACGTGAAGATGCTTTCAATAAAAACAAGGAGGGCCCTACACATGGCAAAAAATGAAAAATTGAGAGTAAGAGTCAAGTGTAAAGGGGTGGTTCCAGATTCCACTGATGGTGGGCCCTCCACTGTAAGTAAAGCCACATCGAAGGGAAAAACTATAATTTCACAAAAAGATTATTGTCCTTTTGCTATTCAGATATCTAGATCTACGGAAGAGGAACAATGGTTGGTGAAGACAGTTATTGATGAGCATTTATGCTTACAAAGTAGAAATGTGAAGGCATGTACATCTAGATATCTTGCTAGCACTATTCTCCAAAAAGTGGATTCCAACTCTCGCATCCCAGTAACATCCTTACAAGAAGAGCTCCAAATGGATTTGGAATTAAGCATATCAAGAATGAAGGTGTTCAGGGCTAAATCAATTGCAAAGGAACAAGTGTATGGTGACTATGAAAGGCAATATAATTTGCTGAGAGATTACTGTTTGGAGTTACAAACCAATAACCCAGGTACAACAGTGAAGCTAGAAGTGTGTAATGAACCAAAATCCCTGATGTTCAAACTCGTATTTTCAAGAGGATATACATTTGTCTTGGAGCACTTAAGTTGGGGTTCAAATCTGGAAAAAGGGAATTATTAGGATTGGATGGATGTTTCTTGAAAGGACCACACCCTAGACAAATTCTAACAGATGTAGGTCTTGATTCCAACAATGGAATATATCCACTAGCTTATGCAGTTGTGGAAGCTGAGACAACAAGTTCATGGACATGGTTCTTAGAATGCCTTGGTGATGATTTGGATTTGGATGCATCATGCAACTTCACTTTTGTATCTGACAGACAAAAGGTATAATACATATAACATAAGTATCTTTTAAAGCTTGTAACAATACTAACTATAATTTACATTATATGTAGGGCATAATACCTGCAATAGCAAAAGTGTTTCCAAATGCAGAGCATAGATGGTGTTTGAGACATATACGTGAAAACATGAAGTTGCAATGGAGGGGAGAAGAGTTTAGAGATCACTTATGGAAGTGTGCTACACATACAACCATTAGGCACTTTGAAAGGTCAATGGATGAGTTCAAAGATTTCAGTGCAGAGGCTCATGAATGGCTAAGTAAGATTCCTCCATTTCATTGGGCTAGGTCTCATTTCTCAGGTAGAGCCCATTCAGATTGTCTTTTAAACAATTTGTGTGAAGTATTCAACTCTAAGCTATAGCATGGAAGGGACAAGCCTATAATTACATGTTTGGAGTACATAAGAGTGTACTTGATGAAGAAACATTGCATTGTACAAAAAGAAATTGATAAATGCAAAAGTCTATTAACCCCTACTGCAATTACCATACTTGACACAATCAAAACAGTTGCAAGAAAATATAGGGCACTCTTCTGTGGTTCTGGGAAATATCAAGTGACTGGTATGATGTTTGATCAGTATGTGGTCAACTTGAAAGAGGGTACATGTAGTTGTAGGTATTGGGAGATAACAGGGATAGTCTGCAGGCATGGAGTTTGTGCAATATGGGAACATATTCAAAATGGTGAAAAAGCCCAACAACCTAAATATTGGGTGCATCCTTGTTATAAGCTAGAAACATGGAGGGCAATGTACTGTAACAAAATAGATCCAATCAATGGCAGGAGCATGTGGCCAAAATCTAGATGTCCAACCACTCTTATACCACCTACACATCACACACAAGTAAGTTGAATGTTAGTTAACATAGTTTATTATTCATCTAGTTTTAACATTTTCTTAATATTTTTGTAGGTTGGAAGGCCAAAGAAAAAGAGGAGGAGGGCTATAGATGAGCCTACTAACCAATCAAAAAACCTATCTAGGAAATTCTTGACTGTTACTTGTTCCAAGTGTCATAACAAAGAACATAACTCTAGAACATGTAAGGGGCAAAGGGGGTCAAGTCAGAGAGCAGTGGGTGGATCAAGTCAAGGTGGTGTGGGTGGATCAAGTAAAGATGTAGTTGGTGGAACAATTCAAGGTTCAGTGGGTGGATCAAGTGAAGATTTCATGGGTGGGTTAAGATCAAAGAAGATAGACAAGGGAAAAAAAGCCTCAAGTAGGAACTAAGTGAAGTTGGATACAGATGAAAGCATGACTAACCAAGTTATTTGGCTACTTTTTGTTTAAGATTATAAACTTGTGTTGATGCTTTTGTTAAAACATGTTTAATCTAGATAATTACATCTTTTTGCAACTACCTAAATTAGTGATGTAATTAAGTTGATACTAGCCATATGTCATGCTACATTTCTGGTTATAATGATCTCAGTTATCATGTTTTGATATGGTGTGTTTCTCATTCCATTCCATTGTTTAATAATGACCAAAACTCATTCCATTCCTTTGTTTGATAATGTTCAAAACTCATTCCATTCCATTGTTTGATAAATAACCAAAACACATTCCATTCCATTGTTTACATATAGGGTTTTGATTTTGTATTTTTCTCATCCCATTCCAATCTTTGATAAATGGACACAACTCATTCCATTCCAATCTTTGATAAATGGACACAACTCTTTCCATTCCATTCCAATATTCCTGATCAATAATAATTAAAAAAACAATGCTTTATAATTAACATAAGACAAAATACCATTAAACTGATTAACTAAAACCATACATTACATTAAGATTCTAATACATGACATCCCATACCAAAATTAACTGGTAATATCCCATTCCAGTTCTACACACCATCCGACATTACATATCCAAAATACACTGACCAAATACATCCCGAAATCCAACTACTACTTAGTGCATACGTATATAAACGAAAAAAAGAACCAAGACAGAATAAGCATCCACTTGAGCTTCACAACATCTGCACGAGCTTGAATCAACATCATTTGAACATTGTTCATTCTCCTTAGCAAGCCAGGTTTCACCTCCACAGCTCTATGGCACATCGGATCGTCCACCCACCCAAGAAATGGACAGCTTCGACCATTTCGAGCACAAGACCAGAATCACCTTCCTGGGTTGAGGTCCGTCCAAGATGTGACTCTCACAGCAACACTTCCACACATACAAATCACCATTCTTGCAAGAGAGGAGAGCTTCGATCTTTCAGAGATGCTAGCTTGATTTTTGTGAATGTTGGTTAGGGCTTATTAAAGGGGGTGGAGAAGCAAACGTAAAAAGATGAATATACCCCCAACTTAATGACCCCAAACGGCTAAAATTGACAGTGTTATTAAAAAGGACCTCCAATGCAACTTTTACAAACTACAATGGACAAATGCATCAAAAAAAATAGATAAGAACTAAGTTTGTTACTTTTGACAAACCACAGGGACCATTTTTGTAATTTTTTCAAAAATGTATAAATATATAAAAGAGGGACTAAAACCGATAACTAAAAGTTTATCCTTATTTTGGGGAAATGAATAGTAGAACACTATATTTGGTGTTATATTATTCATTTCCTCAAAATGGAGGAATAAATAAGGTAGGGTTAAAGATGAATGGGGGGAAAATTGAGAAAATAGTGGAAAATAGGAGTGAGTTGGAGATGCTCTAGGACCATCTAAACCAATGCAATGACACATGTCTTTCAACTATGCCACATCAATTTTTACAAATAGTTACAGTATTTTTTAAAATATAAAAAGTAATTGTTATTGTGGTGGTGAGACCCTTTTTGAAAGAGAGTTGATATTAAATTGAGGTAGACATTTGTTATATAGTTGATTCTCCCTTATTTAGACATTTGTTACATTATATGCTATGCACATGTTACATACCGATGCCATGCACATGTTTTCTAAAGATTGCAGTAGCGAGTGCTTTCATGAAGAGGTCTGTTGTATTGTTGTTGGATTTAACATATTATATCTTAATCTTTTAATCTTTTATAAGCTCTTGAATGTACTCATAGAACTTTGGAGGTATATGTTTGTCATGTCGCTCTTGATATATCTTTCTTTCATTTGAGTGGCACATGCTAATTTATCTTCATAAATTAAGGTTGGACATTTATCTTTATCTAGTCCACATAAAGTCAAAATGAGTTGTCTCATCGATCTTAACCATGTGCATTCTCTTCTAGCTTCATTTAGTGCAATTCCTTCAGCATGATTTGAGGATGTGGCAACAAGTGTTTTCTTTTGAGAACGCCAGGAAAATACGGTACATCCATTCATGAATATCTATCCAGCTTGAAACCTAGCTTTGTGAGGATCAGATAAATAACTTGCATCTGCCTAATTAATCAAGCCTTGTTTTGAATTTTTATGATAAAATAACCCTAAATTAGTAGTTCTCGAAGGTATCGAAAAATATGTCTGATTCGATTCCAATGTCTTCTCGTAGGGGATAAACTGAACCTTGCTAGCAAGTTTACAACAAAAGAAATGTCTAGTCTAGTACAATTGGTAAGGTACATAGGAGCCCTAATTACATTAAGATATGGTACTTATGGACCAAGAACTTCTTCATTTTCTTCACGGGGATGAAATTGATCTTTGTCAATATTTAATGATCTAACAACCATTGGGGTTCTTAAAGGATTGGCATAGGCCATATTGAAATGTTTCAAGACTCTTTCTGTATAATTTGATTGATTCACAAGTATTCTGTTAGGGATATGCTCAATCTACAAACCAAGACAATATTTGGTTTTTTCCAAGGCCTTTCATTTCAAATTCTTTCTTTAAAAGTTCAATCACTTCAAGGATTTCTTTATTCACTCTAATGATGTTTAGATCATCAATGTAGACAACTATGATCACATACCCAAATTTTGTTTTCTTAATAAATACGCATGAACAAATAGTTTATTTTTATAACATTTACTTGTCAAAAAACTGCGTAAACGATTGTACCACATGCATCCAGATTGCTTTAACCCATAAAAATATCTTGTTTATTTTGTAGAATACATTTCTTTGGGTTTTGCACTTAATGCTTCATGTATTTTAAATCCTTCAGGTATTTTAAATCCCTCAGGGATTTTCATGTAGATATTACTATCAAGTGATAAATACAAGTAAGTTGTAACTGTTGGATTGGTGTCTAAGCCCGTAACCATATTTGGTAAGTACTTGACCCGATTGTGCATGGTCCTTTTGAGTTGCCTTCACCAAAGCAACTTGACTGGGGAAATAATAGAGAAAGAGGTTATTATGATTTATTAATATGTTATAAGAATAATATATTAAAGGAGAAATCATATTTGTTTAATTAATATTGGTCAATAATTAATTAAGAATTAATTTTGTGATCAAATGTAATTAATTAAACTAGAGGGGTTGAATTGTAATTATGTGATAGTTACAAAATAGGGTAATGGTTATCCTTGATATGGGTTGGATGAATTCAAGGGATAAGATATCCTTGAAATCTTCCAAAGGATAAAGGATAAGGGTTTTTAAGGCTTATCTTATGATTGCTTGGTGGGCAAGCAACTAGATAAGGATAAGGACTGAACCCTAATCTCTACACCTATATAAAGACCCCTAAGGCCATAAGAATTCATCCATGCCTTCCTAAAGGGTTCTTAGTGCTGATTTCATACCTCCACCGTCTCTCTCTTGTCTCTCCATTTGCTCTTGGTGTTTGTGGGCCATTAGAGGTACTACACTTATGGTACTTGCTTTCAAGACTTAGGGTTTGAAGATTTGAGTTGTTATTGCAATATAACAACAAAAGGTATGTAATCTAATCTACTATATGAATTTTGAAAATACTAGGGCATACTATGATTCCTTTATGTGTTCATAATGTTGTGTATCTATTAGTGAAAACATAGATCCAATTCTAGGGTTGCATGTACACATAAGATTGTTTGTACAAAACCCATCAGTGGTATCAGAGCCTTTGGTTAACTTGTTTTCAATTAGTATTATACAATTGTATGAACTTGACATATTAGGGTTTATAGCTAATAAACCCTAGGAGGCTAGAAATTTCGAGATTAGGGTTTCTATACCCTAATTTGCGAAAATTTGAAAGGGTTTTCAAATTCTTTCCTTAAGCCTCAAGATTTCAAAATCTAGGATTTGCAAAACCCTATGATTTTCAAAACTAGCCTCCTCCCCAAGATAAGATCCTAAATTTTAGGGATTTTGATTATCCCATATCTTGTAATTATATTTTAATGGTTATATATGGTAATTAAAGATTTTGAATTATCCTATCCCATGATTTTTGAAATTTAGAGGGATTAAAAGGATTAGGATAAATTAATTGTTTAATTTGTAATTATCCTTTATGATTTAGATAATCCCTTATGATTTAATAATTTAAATTAATAGTTTAATTCAAGATAATTATTAAATCAAGAATTTTAATATTAAAAATTTTAATTTAGATAGTCTTAAATTCGAAAATTTTAAAGTGAGATTAAAACCTAATTGTTTTGAAAAGTTTCAAAAACTTGCTCTCAAGATTTGGAATTTAAATTGTTTGATTAAAATTTTAATTTTGAAAAATGTTAAATTCTAAAATCCTAATTTTTGAAAAGTTCAAATTACACCCTTATGGTTTTATTAAATTAATTTAGTGTATAATTAAAAGAGAGTTAATAAATCCATAATGATATGGTTTATATTTTATTAAAAGTGTAATTTATAAAATTTAAACCACCTAGTATTTTAAAAGTGTAAAATACACTCTTATACTATATATATATATATATATATATATATATATATATATATATATAACATTAAAAGTCTAATATTATATATGTATAACTAAAATGCTAGTCTCGTCGTTAGTAGACATCATTCACGAAGTCGATCTATAAAGGGGGTACAAGGTTATGACCTATAAAATGGTCGTTTAATGGGTATCCACTCTTACCCACCGCTTCCTTGTTTGGTGGAGGGTCGTTAGCCGAACGGGTAAGATAGGACAATCCTCTCTTCATTAATAAATATAATGAATCTATGTAATGTAACTAAATGCTTTTGCAAATTCTCAATCCTAGTTACTTTAGGCAAAAGTGAAATTATTGCAATCCCATGAAATTACACTTTGCACCCTTGCTAAGAAGTTAGTGGAGCGTGAGTGGTTAACCGGCACACTAATTGATTCTAAGCAAAGGTGGCAAAGGGTGAGTCATTATTTTTCATAGTTCGATGGAGTGTGTGTGGTTTACCAACACATCGAATAGGTGACTGTAACAATGAGGGCACCATGTACATTTGCATGGTTATTCACACCCACTTTGTGATCCTTAGCATCCCAGTAACAAACGAGAGGGGCATATCGAGATTTAAACATGCCATTGAAAATTTCAATGAATCTCAAAGGAAATCTAGGAAATCTTAATACATTTAAAACTTAAGCCTTTATGTTTTTTTTTTCATGGTGAAGAATTAGTGAATCGTCATTCACTTACCTCCAAATTATTTGTATGTTGGATTACGATATCCCTCTTCTAATGTGTAAATAATTTTGTTGGATCCTAGCCTTGATGTCTTATTTGGGTGTTTCATTAAGGATTCAATTAAGTAACTTGAAATTTCTCCCGTTTTGTAGATGTCTGACTCTAACCGTGGTCTTCCCGAATCCTAAGGAAAAGGTGTTCCTGTTGAAAGTAAAAGCTTGTTCCAAAGTGAAGGATCATTATGGACTAGCTTGATTTCACTCCCTCCTCCTCATCCTCCCGTTGTTCTCCCCGACCCACAAGATCAAAGATTTGAAAGGTTCAAGATCACCGAAACCCTATTGGCAATGGAACATGAAGATAGTAAACCCGTGTGTGCTCACGTCCTAGGGATGAAATCACACATTGATAGGTTGATTATGTTGAGTGCATCTTTTCCCAATTAGTTAGCTGTGGACTGGGTTCTTCAGTCACTCCTTAAATCATATGATAAGTTCAAAAGAGAGTATTATATGATGGATCTTGACGCGACCCTCATTGACTTAACTTACATGCTTATTGCTACTGAATCAGAAATGATTTGGCGAAGTAATGGAGCATATGTGTCTGGTAATTCAACCAACCATGCTTTCATGGACATTTAGAAGAACCCACCTGTTTCTGCTGCCAAGAGGAGGGGCAATGGATACGAAGCTTCCCAAGGGACCTGAAGAGTCTAAGAGATGAGAGAGTCAAGAAGTATGGCTCTACT